CACTGGGTAGAAATGATAGTGTGTTGAGTGGTAGGACACTGGGTAGAAATGATAGTTTGTTGAGCGGTAGGACGCTGGGTAGAAAAGATCGTGTGTTGAGCGGTAGGACACTGGGTAGAAACGATTGTGTGTTGAGTAGCTGGATTTAGCTGCTCTTCACTCATCTCTCACTTCATCTGACAACAGACACTCCAGGACTCTAAGCCTTCAGAAAAAAAAAATTTTAAACTAGTTGATTGGGGAATTTTCAGAAGTGTTGGAGATTTCTTTGTGTGTGATTCAAATCTATAGTCTTAATTTCTATCTTTACATTCCCTCCATTTGAAAGAAATGAAAAGCCAGGGATATTTGGGATCCAAATAGAAAATCAGACTCAGTGTTAGAAGTACCTTACAGGTCAGTTAAACTGAAAATGTGAAGTAAACAATGAACAGAAATTATATAACTCCCGGAATGCGCAAATCTGAAGAAAAAAAAAGGGGGGGGTCAATCTAGTTAGAGAAGACAGGGTAAGGAGTTATTAGTGTGAGTAGAAATCTACTAAAGTAAATTGTTTTACTCACTTGATTATAAGTATTTTGCAGATATGTGTATACTTAGCATGTACTTTTGTTATCCTATATTTTCCTAAAAATATAAATCAATAGTTATTAGTGAGTGAAAATAAACAATTCATGCTGATAGTTTTAAAATAGTCATCCTCAGATTACAGAGAATCACAACTGATGTGAATTGCACCAGGAGACATCCTGACAATGAAAACTACAGACAATCATCCTTCTTTGTCAGAGCGCAGGCCTTGGCCATCCCCATGTCACTGAGCCGGACCAGACACAGATGACAAGGCTTCAAAAGTTGTCCCAAAATGAAATAAATTCCATGGAGTTTTTGAAGCCCCTCATAGAGTCCAAACGAAGTCCTTCCCCACATTGTCCACTTAACAAACACTCCAGTGAGCTGTCCTGTGATTCTATGCATAGTTCAACACTCTAGTCTTTAACTCTGAGACACCAAGAATCAAAATCTTCTATCTTCATGACTTTTCTAATTGAAAACAAAGGAAGAAAGCCTGAGAAGAACCAAGTGCCTTTGTGGATAAGTATTGTGCTGGCAGCAAGGTTGGGTGTTCAAGTCTCCCAGACACTGTTGGAGAAGGATGAGGCTGTCAGCTTCCCCCAACCATTTACCGTCTCGTAGACTCGAGATAGGGTCACTATAAATTGGAATCCATTGGATGGCAATGTTCTTGTTTTTAATAATGTAATATGTGTACATAACCAAGCACCCATACATGTAGATTCACAGACTTTCCTCTCTCCTCTACCTGAACTTCCTATGTACAAGGAAAGACTTGGCCATCCCTGGGATGTATCCCAGGACCCCATTAGAAAAGAGAAAGGGAGGCCTGTTAAGGTCAGAGATACACAGTGAAGAATCACCCACCCTTGGTTTTTCTAAACTCCTCCACGAGGGAGCAGGCTTCCTCTTGAACGCGGTCCTCAATGCTCCTCTTGCCCATCCCGAAATTCCGGAGGGTCATGAGGGAGAAGCGTCGCATATCCTTCCATGCCTGTCCATTGCTGAAAACGATTCCTATCAGGATGCAAGTAGAATGGATATTCTTGTCAAGAAAGATGCGTCCACTGACCTAAACAATTCTTATCCAGTTCAGCCCACCTGCCAGCCATTATCACTGCCAAGGCACACGCAGGCACACCTACCACGTCCTTTATTCGCTTTTTCAGCCAGTGGGAAATAGCCTCTTCCAGAGAACGCCTCTCCATGATCAATCAGGGCTTCCTTCACAGCCTCATAGCCATGCAACACCACGGTGGGCCGCATGCCAACATACAGCGTGAACACAGGCCCATAGGTTTTTGCGAGCTGAGAAATGTAAAGGAGATGCAAATATTAGGAAAAGAGGACATTGTTGATTCTATGTACAGTGCATGGTTCATACTGATATCCTTGTATTGTTAATGTCTTATTTTGCTGCACAAAGCTTTAACGTTTATGAATTTTATTTGTACGTCTGACTGGGACTGTGCAGGCTGCCTTTTAAGCAGGGCCTCTGATGTACCCTGGGAACTTGGCCTTCTCATTATTAAAACTAATCACCACATCAACACCGTGAGCATATTTACGATCACCATTTAAAGAGAAAGGGGCTAAGTTGCAGAGAATTTGAATGGAATTCTCAGTGTCAACCCACCAACCAACAAACTCACTGCTGTCAAGTCCATTCTGACTCCGAGCAAGTCTGCAGGACAGAGTAGAACTGCTCCTTTGGGTTTTCAAGATTTTAAATCTTTTTATTTTTATTTTTAAGACTTTAAATCTTTACGGGAGCAGACGACCCCATCTTTCTCTCCCAGGGTGGCCGGTGGTTTCAATCTGCTGACCCTGAGGTTAGCAGCTCATGTGTAGCTCATATGCTACTAGTACAACTCCAAAGCCCCCGGGCTGACCTTTGACACAGGCCTTAGTAATTTATCAGTACCCGGTGTCGACCTTTGGACCAATTATCCAACAGATTGATTTGGGAGCACCTGCAAACTTCTTCCCTTGAGGTTCTAATTAGCATTACTGATGGCTACTAGAAGCCTCTGGTTTTCAAAATCACTCCAGTTAGAGAGTACTAACTCAAAATAAGAGTGGGCACCACACAAGCAATATGTGATGGAAGAACCATTTTGTACATTCTGTGGCATTCCCAGATCACAGAGTGTGTCACTGTGCAGACTCCAGAAGGATTCTGTCACCACCAAGACCTCCCTCATTACTAATGTCCTTCATTCTTCCATGCTCGTCCTTAGTCTATCACCGTGCCCTCGACACCAGTAGTAATCTGCTTCTATGGAGAAGTTTAATATTCCTGGATAATTTGGACAAAACATGGTTTATACAGCCGTTAACTTCTTGTGTGAAATTGCTAATCAAAAACACTTTCAAGGCCATTTACTCTCCACAAAAGACTTTGAATCAATGATGTGCAGTTGTACTTTTGTCATGCCACTACCTTATTAATCCTTATTAATTAAGTAGCTGTCTTCCAAGTTTCCTGGAATAGACGAGAGAGTGCTGATGAAGCACTGGAAGCACTTACTTGGTTAGGAGATTTGGAAGACAGCTTCTTGGTCAACTGACTGGAAGCAATCTGTATTTGTGGCCATTCCAAAGAAAGGTGACCCAACAGAATGCTCAAACTATAGAACGATATTATTAATATCACATGCAAATAAAATTTTGCTGAGGATAATCTCACAATGGTTGCAGCAGTACATTGACAAGGAGCAGCCAGAGGTTCAGGCTGTATTCAGAAGAAGATGCATAACAAGGATGTCAGATGGGTCTCACTGAAAGCAGAGAACACCTGAAAGATGTTTACTTCTGTTTTACTGACTTTGACAAGGGATTTGACTGTGTAGATCATAACAAACTTAATTGAGAAGAATGGGAATTCCAGAACATTTTATTGTGCTCATGAGGAACTTGTACGTGGATCAAGAAGTAATTTTGCAACCAGAACAAGGGCATACTGCATGCCTGGTTTAAAATCAGGATAGGCATTCATCAGGGTTGTATCCTATCACCAGACTTATTCAATTGGTAAGGGAGTAAATAATCAGAGAAGCTGGATTGTGCCATCAGGATTGGAGGAAGGCTTACTAACATTTGTGATGTACATGTGATATGCCGAAAGTGAGGAGGACTCGCAGCACTTGTTGATGAAGAGCAAGGATCACAGCCTTCAGTGTGGATTACGTCTCAATGTGAAAAAGACCACAATGCTCACAACTGCACCAATTGGTCATAAGACGAATGGAGAAAAGGTTGAAATTGTCAAGGATTTCGTCTTGTTTGGGTCCCGTGCTTATGGAAGCAGTCAAGTGATTAAAAGACACATTGTATTCGGTCAATCTGCTACACAAGAAACTCTCGAGTGTTGAAAAGCAAGGGTGTTATTTTAAAGACTAAGATGCAGCTGACCCAAGCCATGGTATTTTTAATTGCCTCACAGGCATGTGAAAGTGGATGTGGACATGGATGAAGGAAGACCGTGGAAGAATCGATGCATTTGAATTGTGGCGGTAGTGAAGAAGAATATCGAAAGTACCACGCACTGCTCAAAGGACAAACAGATCTGTCTTGGAAGACCTAAGGCCAGAGTGCTCCTTAGAGGCAAGGATGGCAGGATTTCATCTTACGTACTTTGGGCATACTGTCGGGAGAGACCAGTCCTGGGGGAAGGACATGTTTGCTAAAGTAGAAGGGCAGAGAAATAGAAGGAGACCGTCTGGGAGATGGATTGATATAGAGGCACTAACAGTGGCTTCAGGCACGGCAACCATTTTGAATATGGCACGGTACAAGGCAGTGCTTCCTTCTGTTGTGCATAGTGACACCTAACAACAACAACAACAACAACAATTTGCTTCTACCGTAGCACAATGACAATATTTCTCCTCCCAAAATTAGTCTATTTCAGACAATGATGGATTTAAAAAGCAACAGAAACAGCAAAATTCACAGTAAGTATTTTGGTTTCCAATGATCTATATTAATGGTTTACTGCAAGGAATACATTTTATTTAAAAGTAGGGACTGATTTACTTACCTGTTGCCTGCCACTGGACGAGCATAAGGTATACTTACGTTGGTTAAAGATTTGCTGATATCCTTAACACTCAGCTGCAGGATATTTCCGATAATTGGGAGAGGAGTCGGGCCAGGTGGGAGCTTCCCTTTCCCATTGCTTTGATTCCAGAGTGAAAAAAGGAGCAAGCAGGACACGCAGAGTACTAGGGCCACGACTAGATCCATGGAGGTCTTCTCTTCTTACTCGGCTAACTATGGTCCTCCAGGCCTAACATTTTATAGTGATCTCCGCTATTGATTTGTTTTAACCCTAAGGGCTAAGGTGACCAATCATGTAAATTTGCTGTAATCTCTTCTGCTTGGACTTTGGCTCACAGATTAAGAGTCATACAATCATGTTTCAGTAACCTGGGAGGCACAGGCATTTTGTTGTCGACTCGAAGGTAATTTTATTTTTTTCTCTCCCTAATCTGGAGCTTTTGATTTGAATGGTGTAGGGTTGGGCACAGGTATAGACAACTATTTTTCTTTTTAAAAATTAATAGAAATATATTTTATTGTCGTTGCTGATGATATACACAGAAAAACATACACCAATTCAGTATTTTCTAGATGCAGAATTCAGTGACATTTTTTGAGTTGTGAAACTGTTTGCACCCTCCTCTTCTCAGTGGGTCCTCCCACATTAGCATAAACTCACTGTCCCCTAAATTTATTTTTTTTTCACGTCAAAAATTTTTTTATAAACAATTTTATTGGGACATAACCCAAATATAATACAATTCAATAGTTTAATCATATCAAGACGTGTACAATTGTTACCACAATCAATTTGGGAAGTTTCTTTTTTCTTATATTCTTTGTTATAGGCTTTCCATTTCCCTCCAATCTTTCCTGACGTGCCCCCAGAGAACCCTGCATCCAGTGCCTGGGTCTGTAGATCCATCTCTACTGGATCTCCTATGCCGAGAAACATACAAAAATATATAACAAAGAGTCAAAAAAGCTAACCACGACAAAAAAATAGAGAAGATAGAGAAAAACCCAGTTGGGAAGAAAACAGAAAATAATAAAAACTAGAACAACTTAAAAATGGTTCAAAAGAGAGATCAAATGATAAGGTGTTAGATTTTAACATAGTTATTTCTATCATGTTCCACGTTCCAGTGCATGCTATATGATAACAAGGCTGTTCACATCCCTGGCCTGTGTTCAGAGGGGCTTCACCGGATGCTTCATCTACATGTATTTCCTCTTCATTTTTTTATGCCTGCTAGAACTTTTAGATGTGAGGTTGGCAAAGGTCAACTTCTATCTCCTGGTAGAGTTTAGATTTTATCTTCAAAACTCTGAGCAGGAACGTTGTAGTTTTCATCGGGCATGGTTTAATCATGGCTTAGGAAACTTTCCTCTTGCTGCAGTGGTGAGTGGAGTTGAAGGAGCCTGAATGGACACTAATGAGACCAGATGGAAGGCCATGGGTCAAGGCCGGAGGAAGTCTTAGTAAAGTCATGGCAAAGGGTAAGGTGAGATGGGTAACAGGTATTAAATCTCACTACCACCTGCCTTCCAGAAAAGACCATGGATCTTTCAGTTAATATTTCTTGAGAAAAGGAGAAGAATTCTTTCTACTCAGGAAAGGGCTTTTCATCTAGGGGTTTTCTTTTTCTTTTTTTCTCTTTTTAATCATTTTATTGGGGGCTCTTAGAGCTTGTATCACATTCCATACAGCAATTGTATCAAGCATATTTGAGCATATGCTTCCATCATCATTTTCAACACCTTTTTCTTTCTACTTGAGCCCTTGGTATCTGCTCATTCCCCCTTCTCCCCATGAACCCTTGATAATTTATAAATGATTTTTTTTCATGTCTTACACTAACTGCTATCTCCTTTCACCCACGTTTCTATTGTACATCCCCTTGGGAGGGGGTTATATGTCAATCATTGTGATCAGTTTCCCCCTTCTCCCCCCATCTTCCCCTTACCCTCCTGGTATTGCTACTCTCATAATTGGTACTAAGGGGTTTACCTGTCCTGGATTCCTGGGTCGTGAGTGCACATGCTCTGGTCTAGTTGGATTTGTTTAGTAGAATTGGAGTTATGATAGTGGTGGGGGGAAGCATTAAAGAACTAGAGGAAAGTTGTACGTTTCATCCGTTCTATACTGTACCCTGACTGGCTCGTCTCTCCCTTGTGACCCTTCTGTGAGAGGATGTCCAGTTGTTTGCAGAAGGACTTTGGGTCTCCACTCCACACTCCCCCTCATTCACATATATAATATTTTGTTCTGGGTCTTTGATGCCTGATACCTGATCCTATCGACACCTCATCACACACAGGCTGGTGTGCTTCTTCCATGTGGGTTTTGTTGCTTCTCAGCTAGATGGTCGCTTGATCTGGGAGCTTTCTTATGGGCCTTTTAAAAAAAAAAATTTTATTGGGGGCTCATACAACTCTTATCACAATCCATACTCCTCATTTTTCCCATCATCTCTTCATTTGTTCACCTCCCTCCCCGCTCCCCCTCCCTCGTGAACCCATGATAATTTATAAATTATTATGTTGTCATATCTTACATTGTCCGGTATCTCCCTTCACCCACTTTTCTGTTGTCCATCCCCCAGGGAGGAGGTTATATGTAGATCCTCGTAATCGGCTTCCCCTTTCCAACCCACCCTCCCTCCACTTTATGGGCCTTTTGTAACTAAATATGACAATGAAAATCTAGGGAAGAAATAAGAAACGAGCAAAAGCAATCCATCTCTCCATTCTACATTTGTTGAGTGCCATCACCCAATTCTGATTCATAACTTTTCTCTGTAGAACAGAATGAGACACCGACCAGACCTTCACCATCCTCCTAAACCGCTGCTGTATTTGAGCCCGTGGTATCCTTGATGGTGCTGTTCAGCAGGCACTGGACTGTTTACCATTAGGTAATCTCTCTGCAGGACAAAGATGAAATTATCTATGCTGTAAAGATCTACAGCTTTCAAAAGCCTATGCAGGGTAAGTAGGAGCTGGAATCAAGCCAGTGGCAGTGGGTTCTTGTTTCAGTCATTGTGGCCATTCGTCTCCTTGAAACTCTCCTTTCCTCCTGGTAGCATGTTCAAAGACATGAAGTCAAATGGCACTGTGACTGAGCTTCTTTTCAAAACAAATGTGTTTGTTCTTCTGCAGCCAATACCATCTTCACCAATACCACCATTCAAATGCATCAGTCCTTCGGTCTTCCATATTAATTTCCAGCTTGTGCATGCAACCTGGCATCCAGCTTCCCATTCATCTTCTGCAGTGCGCTGGCACAGCGGCCGCCTCCCTAGAGCCTCTTTCTGGTGTGCGGTCTCATTCTAGAAAGTCATTTACGGCCGCGCAGGCTGTGAGGGCGCGACTCCCTAAAGGTTCTTGTAATTTCTCAAATTGCTGTTGTTACTAATTGATTCCCTACTGGGAGGTATTAAAATAGGATAATACACAAAGGTAGACATTCTTTACTACTTGACCTAAACTGTTGTTTGGTTTCAAGATGAATTCCGGAGATAAATTTGGTTTAAAACTGATCTCAAGGAAATAGTTTTAGGGGTTCATCGAGGCTCCAAAAAACCTGGCATGCATTAAAATGTGAAATTCTGGTTTGCATTTGCCCTCTTGTAATCAGGATTCTTCTATAGAATTTTTGACCAAAATAGTTTGTAATGGTAGCTGGGCACCACTGCAGTTCCTCTGGTCTTGTGGAAAAGGAGATGGTTGTGCACAGAGGCAGTAACCTCCCCCTCCATATTTTTCTCTTTCTAGCTCTACTTTCTCTGTTGATAGATTCTATTGTTGTGCCTTGGTGGCCATGTGCAAGCTTTCTAAAAAACGTGGGTTGTGAATTAGGTGTAGGTATACACAGCAGCTTATCATCTTACATTCAACCACGCATACACATTTGACTCAACTCACGATTGTCGTCCCCTCGGTGCATCATCACATAGACCATCTCCTCACGTTTCCTGTTTGCATGATGCCTTCTTTCCTAACCCTCTGAGCTTCGTCATGGGGTAAATGTCCTTTTGATTTTAAACGATTAACTGCTGTAGTGCAGAGGTGAGTTCAGTTCTAATCTGAAGAGCCAAAGTCTTAAGGACCCTACAAATCTTCATTGAAATGGTAACCTGAACTCTTTTATAATTTTGAGTTTCCCCCCACATTTTTCTCCCCTTCTTTCCAGGACCTTCTAAGATGATGCTTTTCAGAGTGGTTGGTAGTGGCAGCTGGGTGGCTGTGGAGTCCAACCCCGGTGGAGACGGATGTTTGCACAGTTCATGAGTCCGTGGCACAGACGGTGCCCACACGTCTTTTGGTTTCTTGTCACTCTTCTTTCCCCGGGGAGAGGAGGTGCCAAGAGTTGCACCTTAGATGGCTGCTTATGAGCTTTAAAGACTCCAGTCTCTACTTACCAAAGTAGGATATTGAATACTGTCTCTGTGAATGATGCTATGCCCATCGAGATTGGTGTCCCAGGAGATGGGCTGTTGATCCCCATCCCCAGGGATTCTCAAGCTGTTTGGTTATGTGGAAGACATTTTCATAACTTTGTCCCCTGTATGCTCTACCAATTCATGCATAGGTTTGCAGCAAAAGCAGATATGTATATGCAGATATCCCCTGTCAAATTTATATTTATTCATAGGTATACTCCAACTCTCCCTCTTCCACCAATCAGCCTGTATGTCTCTCCAAGCGTCTACTTATAGAAACCCACTGTTGTGACTCTAGCCACTATACAGTGAAATAAGGGGTAGTATAGAACCACTAAAAAATTCACTTGTTCAGTTTTAGGGATGCCCCATGAAACCATGATCCTAAAGCTTCAAATGAAGGAACCAAATTCTAGGAAGCTTTAGTTGGTATTTAAGCAGTCCACCTGCTACTCTTTTGGGGTTACCATTGATGTAAGCATATCTGTCATACAACTTTTTCCAATTCGACATTTTACAGATGTGCATCACATTGACAGCAATTGAAATAACTAGCTGTTCAACTCTACCCTTAATTAAAATTTTCCATCACCATCACTCTCCCTGCCTCTTAGTGTTAAAATGGCGTGGCTGAGGGCTTTGACCTCCTCTGACTTCACAAGGGGGAAGGATAATCAAGATCAACATCCCAAGGCTGAGTTCTATGAGCAGAGGTCAGATATGGCTCCATCTCTTTTTTTTTTTTTTTTACCAGTTCTAACTACTGTT